CATTGATTTCTCTCAAACATCCATATAAGAATATTGGGTTGGTTAGAGAGAGAGAAAGATGGGAGTGTACAAAAGTGCTTGTTGTGTGGTATTGGTTGCCCTGCTTACGGTGACCTGCACAAATGGGGAAGATCCGTACAGGTTCTACAACTGGAATGTCACCTATGGTGATATTTACCCCCTTGGAGTTAAACAGCAGGTAACTTTATCACTACCTTCTCTCTCTCTCTCTCTCTCTCTCTCTCTCTCTCTCTCTCTCTCTCTCTCTCTCTCTCTCTCCTGTGTTGTGGGAAATTTTGTTGCTAATAAAATGGGGTTTGAATGGAAACGCAGGGGATATTGATAAATGGGCAATTTCCAGGGCCGCAGATCGATTCGGTCACCAATGATAACCTCATCATCAACGTTTTCAATAGCTTGGATGAACCTTTTCTCATCTCTTGGTTAGTCATCGTTCCCTGTTTATTTATTTTTTCATTAATATAATGTTTATTGTTAAATACCAATTATCTATGCCTTTATTTTTCGTAACTGAAGCACTTAGAAATGAGACGTGACGTGAGTTAGGCTAGTTGGTCGGTCATGGTAGGTAGTGCTGCTCTATTGGAATTAAGTTTGAATCTTCCTCCTCTAGATTAAAGCAGTTTAGAATATCGTCTTTATAAAAGAAATGGAATTTAATTTTTCACCTTTTTGAATTGGCACGTTTTCGTCACTTGGTTCATGTGGCAAAAAGTGAAAACATGGAAAATGATTGGTCATTCTGGTTTACATCAGTCTCTCAGATCCATCCGCTAAACTCGGATTCTTCAGCGCACATCCAGCTGTTCAATTCAGCAATATGATGTTTTTGCGAATTTTTTTCTTAAAAGATATACTACTTCCCAATCGAGCTTTTCATGTAACAGTCTCTAGGGTTTTCGATCGAATTTGTCTTCTTTCCTGTAGTTTTCATTAGCAAAATTCCTAGTTCGACTAACCAACTGTTTAGAGTTGTCCCACATTGGTGAGGGACAAGGTTTGCTATGTGCTTATATGATCTTGGGCTACTCCTTATATTACCAATTAGTTTTATGGTGGAACCTCAATTTCATCATGGTATCAGAGCGGGTTGTCCTCGTGTGAAGCCAAACGGTCACACGCGCTCCACGTCACCCAGTTGTTGTCCACGTATAGGCTTGAAAATTCGCCACACGTGCGGGGACATGTTGAGAGTTGTCCCACATTAGTGAGGGACAAGGTTTGCTATGTGCTTATATGATCTTAGGCTACTTCCTATATTGCCAATTGGTTTTATGGTAGACCCTCAATTTCATCACCAACAAATCCTGCAACTCTTGTTTAGGAATGGAGTACAGCAGAGAAGGAATTCCTGGCAGGATGGGGTGTTTGGCACGAATTGCCCCATCCCACCGGGACAGAACTTCACATATGCTCTTCAAGTCAAGGATCAGATTGGCAGTTACTTCTACTTCCCTTCCCTTGGCTTCCACAAGGCTGCAGGAGGTTTCGGTGGTATCAAAATTGACAGCCGCCCGCGTATTCCCGTACCTTTCCCTCCTCCTGCTGGAGACTTCACTATACTCGCCGGAGACTGGTTCAGTAAAAATCACACTGTAAGTATCTGTAACAATTTTAATGCGCAGTTGTTCGCTTACTACATAATGTGGTATAAAAATGTGGTCGTTATTGCGTTAACTCATGAGTCATAATTGTAATTGAATACATAGTACAAAATGAGGAATGTGATATGTGTTGTTCGTTGATGGGATTGTTTTGAATCCTTACAGGATTTGAAAGCAATCTTAGATGGTGGGAATAATCTTCCCTTCCCCGACGGACTCCTCATCAATGGCCGTGGATCCAATGGGTTTACATTTACAGTTGATCAAGGTAACTAATGAATATAATCAGCATTTTGATCACCATTTCTGTCATTTTTTTAGTACTCGAGGCATTTTGATGTTATATTTGCTTGGCAGGCAAGACATACAGGTTGCGGATATCGAATGTGGGGCTTACAACTTCCATCAATTTCAGAATACAGGGGCACACGATGATGTTGGTTGAGGTGGAAGGCACCCATTCTCTTCAAAATACTTACAGTTCTCTTGACATTCATTTGGGTCAGTCCTATTCTGTATTGGTTACAGCTGATCAACCGCCGCAAGATTACTACATTGTTGTCTCTTCGCGTTTCACGTCACAAGTGCTCAGTTCAACCTCCATTCTCCACTACAGTAACTCTGCAGGAAGTGTTTCTGGTCCTCCCCCCGGTGGCCCAACAACTCAGGTTGACTGGTCTCTTGAACAAGCGCGATCTCTCAGGTAACTAATGAATACAAGCAGCATAAAAGAATTGTTGAATGTTTCTATAACTCATGCCTTTTCGTGTATAATACCAGACGGAATTTGACAGCGAGTGGTCCAAGACCGAACCCACAAGGCTCGTATCATTACGGATTGATCAACACCACCCGCACGATCAGGCTTACGAGCTCTGCTCCAATTATTGATGGCAAACAGAGATATGCTGTGAACAGTGTATCGTACATTCAACCAGACACGCCACTTAAACTTGCTGACTACTTCAAGATCTCAGGGGTTTTTTCCCTTGGAAGCATCCAAGACAACCCCCACTGGAGGCGGCGCTTCAGACTTCTGTCATGAATGCTGATTTCCGAGGCTTTGCTGAACTCGTGTTCGAGAATCCAGAGGATACTGTGCAGTCATGGCACATTGATGGCCATAATTTCTTTGTTGTAGGGTAGGTTTCTCGAACTTCAGAAGTTCAAGCTTTTTTTTGAATTTAATACAATGCCAGAAATTCCATAAGAACACATATCTTTAACTGTGGTGATTCCGATATGGGCAGGATGGACGGTGGACAGTGGACACCTGCAAGCAGATTGAGATACAATTTGAGAGACACTATATCTCGCTCCACCGTTCAGGTACATTGATAAATCCAGTTTTGAAAAATCCTATACGCGATTTACAAATATGTCTTCGTGATCGAACTTAAATGTGTCTGCTTTCTACGAACAGGTGTATCCCAGCTCATGGACTGCACTCTACATGCCGTTGGACAATGTGGGAATGTGGAACATAAGGTCTGAGAACGGGGCTCGGCAGTACTTAGGCCAGCAATTCTATTTCCGCGTCTACTCGCCTGCGAATTCATGGAGGGATGAATATCCGATCCCAAAGAATGCTCTTCTATGTGGTCGCGCATTGGGGCGTAGAACTCGGCCTCTTTAAGCAAAGCTGCATTTGAAACTGTGAGCATTGTCAGGGTCGTAGATGTGAACTAGGAGAGGATATTGTCTGCAAATCAAAGATGTAGGGGGGGCTTAACTCGAGCCATTCGTCACCCTTTGTTAGTTTGTGGCTTCTCTGTGTGATCCAAATCAAACTTTCTGGATCTTTTCTTAAAAGATAGATTGTTATCCATCTTGTATTCTTTGTTTAACATATTTTAATCAGAAAAGAAAATTATTTTCGTTCGTTAATTTCAACTGGATGATAGAAACTAATCGCGAATGTGACGAACACTAGAAAGCATAACTTCTAACATATTACTCGTAGCTTGTAGCTCAGTTGATTAATATCATGAAATTGTGCATCTGGGATCATGTATTTGACTCCTCCCGCCAGTATCGCTTCACTTGCATCAAATAAATAAAAAAATAACGTCCAATCTGTTAGCCAAGGCTTATCACACCAGTTCTTGATGGAAATTTAAAAGAAAAACTAATGAAAATGGTTTGAAAACTTTGAGTTTTAACGATAAGGACAAAATAAAGAATAAAGTGAAAAGCACCAGGATTTATTTTTTAGCGTAAAAATGTGGTTTTTTGTTAAAGTGAACAGTACAGAAAGTTTTTCGTTAAAGTTCCCAAATTTAAATATATGCTGAGTATCAAGTCACTCAATTGCTAGTTAACCATTCGGCACAAAACCAATTAGCAACCGGTGAAATTAATCCAACTCAAAACCAATTGGCTACGAATGGATACACTCGCAATGCCACGCACGTTCCAGCCCAACTTGTTCCCGAAAACTTGACAATCCTGCATGAACATTTACAGGCCACAGCAATTTTCCCACTTGTTTCTGCAAATTGCAAAGTGGAAGGTGGGTGATTTAATTTGGCAAAGAGTAATATTAATGGTAGAGCGTCGGTAGAGTTGACCCGCTTCAATTTGCATGGCCCTGCAGATGCAAAATTGCAGAGCTCACATAAAATTGGTTGGGAAGTGTTTGGCCTACTTATTGTTATGTCAAACTTTCATTAAAGCATACATGTTCATCAAATTGAATTAGAGATAAATCCAACATGTGAGAGTCAAACAAATGAATTACAGCCCTTGGAAAAGTGAAATTAATCCTCCCTCATTCATACATTCATGGGATATTCATGAAATATAGTGGAGAAATGTGTGAAAAAATGCATGTCAATATATCCAATGCAAGATGAACTAAACATCATTTACCTTTCAAATTTCAATATAGAGGAGAAATATAACCGTACTATTATTTAACTTTCATACGTAACAATGTAGAAAGAAGCAGAAGTGAATGTAAATAAAAGTCAAATAGTCAATGCAAACTAAACTGATCTATATACGCGTGTCTCATACCAATTACGCACTATTATTTAACTTTCATATGTAACAATACGAGAAGAAGCAGAAGTGAATGTACATATAAGTCAAATGTTCAATGCAAACTGAATTGATCTATATATCCAAGTCAGCCTTTGAGTTTTGACTTACTCCTCCATTTGGCATTTAATGGTTGGCCAAATTTCCCAACTGTGACAACGCGTGGCATGAACATGCAGCCATTAAAGGCTGTTTAGTGTAGCAGTACGTACTGTATTTTTGGCTAAGGAGTTCAGGCCCATAAAAGGATGGTCTTTTGAAGGAAGAAGATCGCAAGCTCAGCTAGCTATCTGAGATTTAATTAAGCATTTTTCAGAAGAAAAGAGAGAAGCCATGGTTGTCTGTCGAAAATGGCTTTCTTTGAGTCTTGTTGTTCTGTACATTGTCCTCCAATTGAGTGCAATCACCACTCTAGGTGATGGGAAAGTTGACAAAACAAGATTTCGCGGTGATGATGATGATTGTCAATGGGGTCGGAGATGTGGTGGTCGGTTTGATCGAGGAAATCGTGGTAGGGGACCAAGGGGCGGTGGCTTTGGAGGCGGAGCTGGAGGAGGAGGAGGCTTTGGTGGTGGTGGAGGTCATGGTGGAGGAGCAGGGGCTGGTGGTGGTATAGGTGGTGGAGTTGGAGGTGGTGCTGGAGGTGGTGGAGGAGGTGGTCATGGAGGTGGGTCGGGTCATGGTGGGGGTTTTGGAGCTGGTGGCGGTGTAGGTGGAGGTGTTGGAGGAGGTGGTGGTCTTGGAGGAGGCGGTGGAGGCGGTTCAGGAGGAGGTGTTGGTGTTGGTGGAGGTTCAGGCCATGGGGGCGGTTTTGGTGCTGGTGGTGGTGCAGGAGGTGGAGCTGGAGGCGGTGTTGGCGGTGGAGGAGGTGCAGGAGGAGGTGGTGGCGGCGGTGTGGGTGGAGGATCAGGCCATGGAGGCGGTTTTGGTGCAGGAGGTGGTGTCGGAGGTGGAGCTGGTGGAGGTGTTGGCGGTGGAGGAGGTGGAGGAGGAGGAGGAGGAGGAGGAGGTGGTGGTGGTGGTGGCGGTCTTGGTGGAGGTTCAGGCCATGGAGGTGGTTTTGGTGCAGGCGGGGGTGTAGGCGGCGGAGCTGGTGGTGGCCTAGGAGGTGGAGGAGGTGCTGGTGGTGGTGGCCATGGTGGAGGAATTGGAATTGGAATTGGGATTGGCATTGGTGTGGGAGCTGGTGCCGGTAGCGGCCAAGGATCTGGAAGTGGGTCCGGTGGAGGTGGTCGAAATTAAACGTAGATTCTGCATGGCTGAGTGCGGTTAAAGCTATTGACACCAGCTTCTATTAGTTATCAATTTGTAATTCAGCAAAACAGCTTCAAATGGGATAGCAGTCTTTTGTTACAATAAATATTTAGGCACATTGAGTTTAATCTCTTGAATTGGTATTGTAATCAATCCACAATTTCCGCTTAAGTTGATTTAATTTGTCTTCTTATCACACAGTAAACATCATTAGCCATCAAATATTCATACTAACATAGTTTGGTTCAAATTTTTTTTTTTTTTAACAAACGATATTATCTACACTAAGAAAAAGGGGTGAGCTAGTTGGTTCAGTATTGTTATGCTTTGAAAAAAAACTGATTCTGCTATGATGCGAGAATAAGCTCATTTTTGCTGCTTCACGTTTTCAGCTTTTTTTTCACCCAAAATTGTGAAAATAAGTTGCTTTTAAGTGTTTACCAAACAACTTTTTGAGCTCAGCTTTTTTTTTATACCCATTTTTATAAAATCACATTAGTACAACCAATACTTAGTCTCACAATGAGTTAACAATAATGTGGTTCAAATTCGTCTTTCACGAGAATCGAATATAAGTTATCTCACTTAAAAGTGAAGATGAATACCACTAACCGTAGTACCAAGTGACAATTCAAATGATTTTAAGAGAAATGCTAAAGAAATTATCTCAAAAGTAGAACTCTCTGCCATTTGTGTTTTTGGCACAATGATTTATATTGTTGATACATGACTTAACGTTAAATATAAAATAACATGAAATCAATAGAAAATCTTATTTTGAAAGAGTCTTCTTAACATTTCTTTTATTCTAATTCAACGTACAAACTATCATCACTTGAACACAATTAATTTCAAACTTAATTTCTCCACACGTAACCTATAAGTGGAGAAATTCAGCACATGGGATTAATGATCGCTTAACACCAATAGACCAAATAATAGTTGGCGCTATAACTTTAGTGACAATATAATGAAAGAAAAATTTGTAATTCAAGTAATTAAGATAGGAATTTTATGCTATATTAAAACGTGTAACGATGCGTATTTGACTTCGAAACTTATCACATTAACTTCCCTTCATATGACTTTAGATTTAGAATCTTAATTCACCTATCTTCCAATTTCATTTGTAAATAAAAGCAATATTTTATCGGAAGTCCCTAATTGGACGTAATGTAACAATAGCCAATAAGTTATGTTATTTTTGTCTTACAAAGAATATTATTACCTGTTTGAATGATTGCTCGATGAGTTGTGATTGGGAAATCTTCACAATTATTAGCCGTATTCGTGTGATGGGGAAGACTTTCCAATCTTGCTTCTGGTCTTGGGTTCCAAGATCAGCAAATGCTGCGGCGGACTTCGTTGCTTCTAACTTCACACTGGAGATGCGTGACTTAGTTTGGGTCGAAAGACCCGAATCTTCTTTTGTGAGAATTTTGAACAAGGATGGGCTCCCTTGTCCCCCGTTTGTGTAATTTTTGCTTTGGTTGTGGGATGACGTTTCTGCCATTTGTGGCTACGTCTTTGTGTAATCCCATCTCTCTATTGCTTGTTCCGTCTCTTTGTTAGCCTTTGTTGGCTTTCGTTGTTCTTGCAGGCCGTTGTGCCCGGGTTAATCCCAGTTTCTGTTAAAAGAAAAAAACAAAAAATAAGAAGAAGAAGAAGAGATTAGTTGGCTATTTCATCATCAGTCTATTATTTCGATATCGAAAAAATTCAGACATTTCATCTAATATTTACTTGTTTATATCTTCCAATATTTGTCCAGGCTTGCAGGGTACGAAAGATCAAAATAAATGTAAAAACATTTTTTTTTTTACCAAAAACAAATTGTTTATTTTACACAAAACTTCCAGGGTAAGGGTGCGACTGGAGAAAATGAAAAGGGATAAGATGGTAATTAAAAATTCAAATAATTCCAAGAGACGAAGGTGTTTCTCGTGCCTCAATAAAACCACTTCCCCGATGCCACATCCACCGTACACTCCATCAAAAGTCCCAAGGGCCCCACAGATCGACGGAGAGTAATCAGCACGCGTACGGTTGCCGACAGAGGCGTGGCGCACGCTTGGGAAGCCCCAGAGGCGCGACGTCGACGTGGATTCCCGCTGCTTCACTCGCCAGTCCCTGTCCATATAAAGGTACGCACTTTCCCGCCGCTCGCTTCCAGATAGTGCCCTTTTGTCGTCGACTCCGCCTCGTCCTCACTCAGTACAAATTCATCGAAACTCGCGATCGCAGAACCCTAACTCGCTTTCTCCGTCAATGGAGCTTCGTTCTCGCAAGCGCACCGCCGGCCCTTCGTCCGATGGTAAAATCTTCCCACTCAAATTCAATTGTGTGTGTGTGTATTTCTGATTGAAGTTCAAAATTGTAATTTACAATTAGGATGTGACCTGTTAGGTTACCGAGAAAGTTCGAATTGAAGTGTTTTGAGTCTTAAATTGGATCGGGAGGGATGCGAATTTTGTTTGGATTTTTTCTTTGTTTTTTTGTTGTGTGTTATGTATTATTTTGATGTTGGAATTTAACAAGGAGAAAGCTTTTGACTTGAATAAAATTATGGATATTTGTTGGATGTGCAGGAAATGAGCAACACGAGGAAAGGGAAGATGCTTATTCACCGTCTGATGAGGATACTTATGTACCACCGTCTTCGCCTTCCGCTTCTGATTTTGAGAGTGAAGAAGGTAAAACAAAAATTAAATCTTTCTTAACCAGATACGTATAAGAAGTTAAGAGTTTAGATTTTGGTTAAAAATTCGCAATTCTTGTCGAGGTTTTTAGTTCTGATTACTGTGACTGGTGGTTTGGTTTAGCGCTCCTTTCTTGATTGGGGAATGTTTTCGATTTAAACAAACAATGTCAGTTTAGCGGAAGGTTGAATTTTGTTATATTGGTGAGTTTGCATGCTTTATTGACATAAATCTGGTGTTTTGATGCATGTAGGTGAAGAGTACCAAAACAATGTGGAAGTTGTTTTTGACTTGAATGATAAACCTAATGGTAAAATGAAGGAGCCTGCGATAAAAAAGTCGAAGGTGGTGGTGGAGAACAAGGCAGAAGCAGGAGGACCAAGCTCGATGGTGCCAGCCCCCAGGTTCACATCAGGTGAAATTGACGATCTTAGGTTGCACGACAAAAAAAAGAAAAAGAATCGTAAATCTGGGGGGCAAAAGCGGCGTTGGCAGTGGAATACGTGGGAAGAGGAGCATGATAAATGGCTTGATGACAACGTAACTGAAGATTTTGATCTGGATACTCAGAAGAATGTGATATGCGATGCTGCTGAGGCACCATCTGATCTGATTATGCCTTTGCTAAGGTACCAGAAGGAATGGTTGTCATGGGCCGTGAAACAGGAAGAGTCTGAAACTAGAGGAGGAATCCTAGCAGATGAGATGGGAATGGGGAAGACTATTCAAGCCATTACTCTTGTCCTTGCTAAACGGGAACTTAATTCGACATGTTATGACACTGGTTCTTCCACAAGCTTTCCTAGAATCAAAACCACCCTTGTAGTTTGCCCTGTAGTTGCTGTGAGTCAATGGGTTAGTGAAATAGAGCGGTTTACTTCAAAGGGAAGTACAAAGGTTTTGGTTTATCATGGGGCTAATAGAGAGAAGAGTTCCCAAATTTTCTCAGAGTATGATTTTGTCATTACTACATACTCTATTGTCGAGGCTGACTACAGGAAGAATGTGATGCCTCCCAAACAAAAGTGTCAATATTGTGGAAAGTTGTATTACGAGAAGAAAATGTCAACTCACTTAAAATATTTTTGTGGGCCTAACGCTTTTAGAACTGAGAAGCAGTCTAAGCAACAAAGGAGAAAGCATCCACAACCAGTGTCGCAGAAGACATTTGAGTCTAAAGGAAAGAATGGAGCTTCCAGGAAGAGATCAGCACTGAACGAGGAAGATGATATGGATTCAGAAGATATTGGACAGCGCTTGAGCCTAGATAAGTCAGTTTTGCATTCTGTGAAGTGGAACCGTATCATTTTGGATGAGGTGCGTTGACTTAATATAGTTGTGGTCGGGTATTGGGGGGAAGGTAGTGGCTATGTTTATGTTGAAATAAAAACCCTTATATTTCAGTTAATTAGAAGTGGAAAACTGATGTCCATGTTTTTGTTTGATTGTGTTTTCTTCGATTTATTCCCAGACAACCATTTTTTTTTCAAGACTCAACTTCTCTTTACTTGTTTGATATATGTTATTTTGGAATAAATGTCTCTAACTTCTTGTTTAAAACTAGGCCCATTATATAAAATCAAGGCGTTGTAATACTGCGAAAGCAGTTCTTGCTTTAGAGTCTTCATACAAATGGGCTCTAAGTGGCACACCTCTTCAGAACCGTGTTGGAGAACTTTATTCTTTGGTAAAGTCTACTATATTTTAGAACATATTTTTTAAACTCGTTTTTTTATGGCCATCTAGCTTATATAATTGGAATTGCATTTGCACAGATCCGCTTCTTGCAGTTAGTCCCCTACTCATATTACTTATGCAAGGATTGTGATTGCAGGACTCTTGATCATAGGTATGGTGTAATACATATTATTTATAAGTTGCATGCCTATATGATACAATACATATTATCAACATATCTCGTATTACTTATGTTGGATACATTTTTCCTTGTTAGGTATATATGACAGACTTCTGTCAATAGTTACTGCTGCCTGCTTGTAACTAATTAAATGTTTTCTGGCTCTTTCTCTTGTATTTCTACTTTTTTCTCAAGTGTTTAATCATTTTTTCTAATGTAATTGTGACCTGCAGCTCCGCAGCACAATGTTCGAATTGCCCTCATAATTCAGTTAGACATTTTTGTTGGTGGAATAAAGTGAGTTTCTAGTTTGGTATATTTTTTTGTTGATTTCCTTACAGAAACAGATGTGCTTACATGTTTGTAATCCGTGTTCCTTGCAAGTATGTGGCGACACCGATACAGATATATGGAAATCATATCCAAGGCAA